GAGGTCCAATATAACCGGGTTTTTTACTGTCCCGAAACGCATTGGAGAAGTGAGGTGGATGTGCAGTGGTGAACCAGCGATTAGCTCATACAGATCCGCCTTGAATTGTTCATCCAGAGTGGCTGGGGTTTCTAGGCCTTGCAAACAGATGTTCCCTACCAGAAGAACGTGGCTGTAAGGTCGTTCCAGTAGATTCCTCATAGCAAAAGGTAGGCCCTGATTCATTTTTAAAATGGACATTGGTGGAGGTTATACAATGACCGCTAAGCATCTATCACCCTTAGGTGTAGGCAGCACTATAGGGCGTCCACACTTTGAATCCCAGCGTCGTTTACGCACTCGATGAGAAGGTCAGAACGATAGTAGAGAATTCCACGGCCTCCCTTTGTGGGTCGGTCGTTTCATAGGATCGACAAACAAGGTAGTGCGCTCTCGGCGTCGGTAATCACGTCGTTCAGCCATGTCTCGGTTACCATGATGAGGTCCCAACACATCGTGACGGGATCGGAGTTCTGCCAATCTACTAAGAAGCCCTTAGGCGTTCGTATACCAACAACTGAGATCAACGGATGTCATAAGTGTAGTTGAACATGCCTATATTTCCCGAGAAGTTACGCCGGCACTTGTGGGGCCGGCTGACAATCGCTTTTAGATATACTTCTTGCCAGCACCCCTTGACGGTTTCGGTCCGTTACATAGAGCATCCACCACCTGGCCCTTTAGAATTGGTTTGCAACGGATTGTCTGCTCCTTCTTCTTCGGACGGCTGGTGACTTTCACTGCGTTCCTGTTCAAAGACGCAGATAGTGGGGTTAGCGACAACTTCTCGCTGGTTTTCTGTTCCCTCACACAATCGTGGCCTAGCTTCGGCCGTCTTCAGATGGCAGCGTGAGGTGTAACTTGTGCCAACTTCCGAGCACACCTTGAACCATTTGTTTGGAGCAGAGAATGATTTTCAACACCCTTGGATCACCTCATTCATACTTGGGTGATATGGGCAACCTTAATATTGAGTTGGCAATCATGCCATGTGCTAGGACTGGAGCACAACTTTCATCACCCTGCGGCCACACTATTTTATTTTTGACGATAGGGTAAGGTTATGGTCGATTTTTCGAGTGAGAGTGCCTGACGAAGGTAACGCCATTCATCCCGATCATGGAGTTGTGCTTCACGTTCAGCTGAAGCTTGAAGCTCCGGTATACCATGAAAAAGATAGACATTTCGTTGTTCCGTTGGCGGTAGTCATCAGGGTTTGGTTTTCTTTACTGACGAATGCTCCAACGGACCTCGAGAGAAATCCGAAAGCCACACGTGTAAGTCCGAAGACAGGTAGGTGATAAAGAAATGTCTCAAAATCGTTCACTGGCTGTAGTCACCCCAAGCAGTCTTGGTTCCCCGTAGTGCGCCGAATTTAGGTGTCGTATGATGTGCCCCATGCTGGCCGCCTTTGTTTGGACGACTGTGAGTGGACAAGTGAAGTCCCACTATTTTCTGTCCTCCAGCAGCTTACATTTTATGGAGCTGGAGCTAGATTCAAGAACACAGGAACACAGGATCGTCAGCGACTCTTGAGCTTGTCTAGTAGTAAGCGGTTTGGTAGGGAATGGGATCTGAGTTCTTGGTGGAGTGATGGGGGCATATACGCCACATTTGTAATGGATTCAGGTGTAGCCATTGACCTTGCTGCTGGTTCTTAAGCAGCCGCAACAGACGTGTACGTAGCTGAACTTTTAGTGACAGCGCATGTGTTCCCGTGTACCGGTATGTCTTGCTCCACAGAGTTGTTCACATGCAATATAGCCTGGCTTATGATGTGGTTGTGATAGTAGGTGGTATATGTTTGTTTGCCTGACTTCAAATTAGAGTTATCCGTGTATCCAGCTTTACGGTTTTACCCTTAACCCTAGTTTGGCCCCTATGCTTAGCTGTTGAGCCTTTTGCGCTGAGTCCGGCTTCGGTTAAATCAAAAGGGCAAAATTTACTAAACCTAGATTCTTTGACCATAACTAATAGGTCTTCGCACTTACATCTGCAGTTAAGGCAGAACAAAACGGCGCTTGTTTTTCGTTTTAGCTTTTTAATTTTTCTGGCATTTAAATGAGCATGATTCGAATGATAACATTTACCGCTTCCAGAACACGGCATACCAGTTCGGACCATTTTCCTGCAGCTACAACTGCTGATCGGCTGCGTCTCGTTAAGCTCTCCTATGTGCTGAACCTCGTTTTGCGTAATGTTTCTAGCTCTGTATAGGCCCAGAGATTGAGGGGACAGCTGTTTATTCAGACGCACAATCGCACGGACACGGGTCAGGCAAGTGAGTTTCCGATCTGGGTAGGCGAGCTACGGCGAGACGGGACTCATGCTAGTCACAAAAATCGGATATAAGCGACATGTGAATTTCCGATCAAAGGCGATTACGTCAACTTACAGAACTGGGTGTTTTGCTGGGTTGGGTATTGGAAAGACAGCAGTGAACTGGTGGGTGCAAATTATGATCCATCGACTAAACACAGAGTTGGATAAAGATGGGTACGGGCTGTTCTTATAGCCAGGAAAGAATTATCTTGACTGAGAATTAAATACCCAAAGTGAACTTGAAAACTGAAGGGATTTTACGTGTAAGTTTTGGAAGCAACGTCAACATTACCGTGCGTGAGTAAGAAGTTGAAGCGTTAAGAAGAATCCGGCAGCTTGATATCCACCTGTATAGCTGATAAATCCGGATGGAATGTGCCGGCTCCATAATGAGCGGCAAGAGATTGAGGATTTATCCGCGTAAAAATCGTGTGCTCTAAAATAGTGCGACCCCACCATACGGCGCGGAGTAATGGTTTCGACACATATAAAAATGGTCCCGGGCTCGATGCCTGCTCTCACTGCCTGACGGGATTAAATAAGTTCGAAAACCGACGTGGAGTGCGGTTTTGTCGCAGGAAATGGGGCGATACCTACTATGTATTGGGTTCATCAGCTACGGTCCCATTTGTCGAATTGGCCAATTCCAATTTAGGTGAGAATCGCCGCCCACATTTTGCTTTCCCGTGGTAGGCAGTACACACAACGATTGCTTTAAAATGACTGCAATCAGCCAAATGCCATCTTTCTTCCATAATGCAGTGTGTAGTATCCAGTTTGCTCCAGGAAGTTACGTGGGATAGCGGTTGGAATAGGTGGGAAGTGAAGGCAAGCGAAGCTGTCGAGTAGGTGAGTGTATTGTTTTAATGAAAAGGCACACCGATACTCATCATCCGGGTGAGGAAAGACTTGCCCACAAATGTTGGGTAGGATTGCGAATTTTGCCGTCAGTTCCTTAGCAACACGACACTTCTGGCCTCTGGAGGGTGAGGTATATTTGCTCATCCGTGTCACAATCTGGGCGAACTCCTTTGTCGTTGCTTGAGTAGCGCGCTCACGAATTGCTCTCATTAGCAACGGGTGCATGGAGCTTCGTTCGGAAGACACATACGCCGTGTGCGAGTCACACGCGTTCAAGTAGATTCCGATCAAGAGGATCGCCCCGGTCCCACGAAGGTGGATGAGGAAGGTTGTACTAAATTGTATATTTAAGTGTCAGGTATATCAGTTGGTGTGACGGCAGGTGTTGCGTTAACTGGTTTGAGAAAAGCAACGGCGAAGTTGTCTTCAGCACGGATAACGCGGCTGCAGCTGGCCTACTTTGAGCTACTCCGGGACTATGCTTATGAACACGTGAATTCAACATCCTGCTGCCACTCCACGTCTTAAATTCATCCACCTTGTTTATCGTTGTGTGGAATTGATCAATATGTTCAGTCTAGTTAGTGTTTGCATCCAAACTGTCTCACCTCACCACCTGATCATTGACAACCAAACAATTGCTCATTTCGCTTGCATACGACAGAACACCGGCTACGTTGTTTCTTAGTACGAACATCATGGACCTCGACAAACACTCGAGTTTTCACATTGCAATCACCCACTATGATTATCCAAAATTGCGTCACCCACTCCCTGTTTCAGATGGCATTCATTGCTTGACATGTGTGAATTACCGATAATCTGGTCCAGATTCTGCGGCGAACACAGCTAGACTTATCGATCTGGGTTACAGGTGATTGACACCAAGTCTATGTCCCTGTCTCTCTATCGTGTCTCCATCAATCAACAATCCCACTGGTCTTATTGGTACAATTTTAACTGGTCAATCATTGTTGCATTACAAGATCGGGTACAGGCCATCCGATCTGTCTAGCTGTCTAGCTTGCGTTCCGCTACTCCTTGCTTGTCTTTAATGTTGGTTTTCTGCGGTATGGACCGAAAGGTGGATCTCACTCCGTGTGTGAGGAAGTTGTTTGATGTTTGTCACCTTGTGGCATTTATTGTTATTCAATAGCATCGTAAGCACACTGACTTTGATTTTTCATGTATTCCGGGGACTATAGATCTTTTCGCGCCTGTGAATCCGTTTCCGGTGACGTGATCTCCTCTGGCCTTGAAGTTGGTCAACCGATAACTGTGCGTATTGCTGAAGTTTCCTAAGGATGCTATCGCTTACAGCTGTCACCTAGTCACTCCTCTTTGTGTCGTGTTCACTTTGCCAACTGTTCAGTTTTCACAGAGATTTCCAAGCAAATATGTATGCGAACTTCCCGATGCTCATCCTGAACTCGTCATATCATTCACGGATAGTATAGAAAATAGTGTGCGAGGAACAGGAGGGTTGGCTGTTCATCTTTGGCAGTATTCGTTTTTAAGCTTACAGTTACGAAATTATGTTGTCGGCACTAGCCAGCGTGTGTGTGCGATTGCTGTGTGCTGCATCGTTAAACGTCATTTCCCCAGTTTGGGTCCTGGTGATCATTTGCCATCGGTGTTTTTGTTCTTTCGTGACAACAACCACAGGCAAGTGAAGGGGTTATTTCCTACGTTCATTTGGACGAATATCCACATTTGATTCCTTTCACTATGTAGTGTTTGATCGAGAACCGTGATGGAAATCAATTTGTTCCTTCCAGGTACTCTGCGTTGACTCAGATACTCTCTTCAACTTTGATGTTCTAGAGTTGTGGAATCATTTCAGAATGTTCAACGCAACACAGGTGAGTATGTACAAGTAAGCTGCACGTGGTCTTTGATTCCCACCGGAATTTATAGGTCGTCAAAGACTCTATCAGTAATACTTGAATTCGAATCGGATGGGTGGCTTCCGTATCTCGAAATTCTCTTGAGCCGCAGGGATAATGGGCTGATTAAGCGATCTGTATACCGGAAGCCAACTTGGTCCGGTCAATACCTACACTTCACTAGCTTCTCACAGATGGCACACAAGCGCGCACTGGTAAAAACATTATTCACTCGGGCCAGACGGATCTGCTCCAACGACTGCCTGCCTGAGGAGTTTGACCTGATCACTAAAACGCTTATGGAGAATGCCTAGCCAAAGCAATTCATAGACAAACAGCCAGGTTAGACCGCCCGAAGAAACGGTGTTGACAGCCCCAAAGAAAATGGAGCACATCGAGCTACCATTCCAGGGTGACACTGCAGCAAGAAGGACAACCAAACGCATTGCCTCTGCCATTCAGCGTACATACTGTGCCACAGAGGCGGTAATTATCAACAGAACCCAAAGTTATCGTTAGCTTCAGTAAATGAAGATGAACCCGTCGGCGCCAAATCACATTATGTTTACCAATTCACGTGTGACTGTGACATCACTTACATTGGCAGAACCAAATGGGCTTTAGATTCCAGAGTTATGGAACACTTAATAACCTTGGTTTAGCGCGAAGTTACTCAATCCACCCCCGACGATACGTGCTCGCGTAAGCCGCCGGCGTCCTCCATAGGCAGACACATCTTGGCGACTCGTCACCGAGTAATCCCTTATCGGCGTTCCAGAGCTTATTGCGTCATTCATGCTTTTTGAGATTTGCCGAGGCCGTCGCGATAAGCCGAATTAGATCAATTTTGTGTGTACAAAAGCAATTAGTTGTGAACCTGCAGTTGACGTGGTCCTAATCCTAACAACAATGACCACAACCATAAATTTGATTGATTTAACTGTGCCCTAGAAGACATATAAAAGGATTTCCCTGTTATCGAGTTGGTATTGACGAGATAATACGAAATGTTAGCGTCTGTCGATATTTGTCTGCTCATTTCCTTGTTCAATACTTGTTCTAGCTTGAAACCTGACTTGCAGCATTTACTTGTAGTATAGGTGTAGAATAGCCTTCTTCGACTAAAGCAATTTCACCGCCCTTCAGACCAGTTCATTACACGACTGAGACAGACCATCTTATTGGCAATAACTGTTAGCCTTCTTGACTGTGTTCTCCTATCTAGGCCTGGGCAACCTGACAGTATCCCGCCCACGCAATACAGTGCATCGCACTTCAAACAAATTTCTGATGCTCTGACCACCGCAGAGGATAATCAACGGTGCCCTATCTGCTGCATCGGGTAGGGTGGATAGGGGTTTGGATGCTACTGCTCAAGCCTTCCCATCTTCTTATTCCCCTTCTTGCGCTTATTCACCCCTATCGTCCCATTCCAGCTTCACTTTTATCCCCCCTGTTTTTAACCCCCCAATTCTCAGCCCTCCCTCACCTTGCTTCAATAGTCGCTTGTCTTTTAGTTTCAACTCACAGGTGAACGCAGAGCGTCATTCCTGCACTGTCAACAAGCCCATGTCCAAGCAAGCGACTCGTTCCAGTTCATCGGCTTCCATTTGGAGCCCTCGATCCTCCTTCAGATTGGCATGCCTCAATGTTCGCACATTGCTTCAGATCGGTCAACAGGCAGCACTTGCTCGAACATTAGAGACCCTCTCGATCGATATCTGCTGCTTATCGGAGACCCGCCTGCAAGACTCGAGCTCTGTACTCATTTTGCTATGCCCTTCAGGTGACAGTAGCAGAACTTTCTCATTGCGCCTATCCGGTGTCGATGCAGCTTCGAGCACTGGCGAAGCCGGTGTTGGTATTGCCCTGAGTCCCCGGGCTGAAGCTGCTCTGGTTGATTGGATTCCAATCAGTAGCCCGATGTGTGCCGTCCGATTGGCTGGCTCATTCAAATCTTCGAAGTCGCGTGGGACTATCAGGTGTCTGTTCGTGATCGCTGCTTATGGAACGACAAACACTAGCGATGGCTCGATGAAAGACGACTTTTAACGTCAAATGAACGAACTCCTTAGCCACAGAAGTACCTCGGACACCGTAGTGCTGGCTGGGGATCTGAACGCTCAAGTTGGAAAATTATCCACAGATGAGCTACATCTGGGCGGCCAACATAGTATAGGCTCTCTTAATGATAACGGTGAGCGGTTACTTCATTTGTGTGAGGATGCTCGCTTATTTCTTGCGAGCACTAATTTCCGACACAGCACCCGCCGGAGGTTGACTTGGCGTCCACCAGCCTCGAACCAGCTATGGACGCAAATCGATCACATTGCGATAAGTTACCGCTGGAGAGGCTGCGCCCAGAACTGTCGCTCGATTTGGAGCACATGTGTGGACACTGACCATGCACTTGTATGTGCTGACCTGCGGATGCGCTTTGGCGGACGCCCACGTCGACGTTGTGAGCGCATTGACACCAGCTAACTGGCGAAGCCAGCTGTTCTGAATGCCTATCAAAGTACGCTGTCATGCGAGTTGGATAAACGCTGACTGGATGCAGTTGAAGCTCACTGGTCTCATATTCACCAGACCTTACTAGCAGCAGGAAAATCCTCATGTAGTATGTCTAATCACCATCATGGACATTTGGTCTCTTCATAGACTCTGGAACTCATAGATGCTCACCGACATATCCCGGCTGAAAGCGAACACAATGAAACTCGCAAAGAGCTCCGTGCAGAACTCCGTGCTAGCCTGAAGAGAGACCGCGAATCCTACTGGTCTCATCGTGCATCAGAGATGGAAATGGCCGCTGCCCTTGGTAACCATCGTAACTTATTCCATCTGATACCGGAAACGGGCAGTAGGAGACCTGATGTTAGTGAACCAATAAGTGACGAGAGTGGACAGCCTATCCACAACTTATCAAAACACTTAGAGCGTTGAGCTGAGCACTTTGAAAGGCAATTTAATCGGTCGGAATGGTTAGATTTCTCGCCGGTCACTGATCGCCCCGCTCCATGGGCTGTCTCTTTGGATCCACCCTCTCGCTCAGAAGTCGAACGTGAGATTGGACTGTTGAAGTTAAATAAAGCCGCGGGACCAGATGATCTCCCTCCAGCCCTCTTCAAATTCGGGGGACCTGCTCTTGTGGATGATTCACACGAGTTACTAGTCAAACTGTGGGGCAGCAAACTGTCCCAACCGACTGAAGCCACTCCGTCATAGTCCTAATTTTCAAGTGAGGCTCACGATCGGAATGCGGCAGCCATAGAGGAATCAGTCTAATCTCCATCGCCTCCAACTTGCTTGCCTCTGTCATCCTTCACAGACTGACTGGCACTCGTGAAAGCCAGATTCGTGAACAGCAAGCTGGATTTCGTCGAGGTCGTGGCTGCATTGGCCACATCTTCACCTTGCGTCAGTTGTTGGAGCACTGTCACATATATTGGCGGCCCACCGTTGTCTTGTTCCTCGATATCAAAGATGCCTTCGATTCTGTGGATAGACATGCACTTTGGGACTGTCTACTCAGGAAAGGCGTACCTGAGAAATATGTGAATATTATCCGAGCATTATATGCGCGTAGCTCTGGCAGATTGAGGGCTTACGGCAAGTTGTCGTCGCCCTTTAATATCTCCAGCGGTGTGAGACAAGGATGCCCGCTGTCACCTTTCCTCTTCAACTTCGTTATTGACGAAGTCATGGAAATCGCGTTCACAGGACAGATTAGCACTAGCTGTCCGTCAATTCGGGCTTTGCTTCGCACCCTCGAATTGCAAAGCGTTCCTCCAAGATTGGTCTGGACCTCCTCCTTCGCTGACCGTTGGTGGGGATCAGCTAGAAGTCGTTCAAAAATTCAACTACCTGGGAAGTTGTATCAGCGCCCGCGGGATTGAGGATGAGATCACGAACCGTATAGCAAAAGTTCGAGGCGCTTTTGCTAACCTTCGCCACTTATGGCGCCGGCGCGACATCACCCTTGCGCTGAAGGGTAGAGTGTACAAAGCAGCGGTACGTTCGACCCTACTGTACGGTTGTGAAACTTGGCCGCTTAAAGCAGCGGACCTGAAGAGGCTAATTTCGTTCGACCACCGGTGCCTTCATAATTTAGCTCACATCTGGTGGGAACACCGCGTGAGCAACGAGCGTGTTCGACGCCTTGTTTACGGCACAGGAAAGGGAAATGAACCGCTCCGCACCGTCATTCAACCCACCAGGCTCCGATGGCTCGGCCACGTGTTACGCATGCCAGCCCACCGACTCCCTTGACGTGTGTTGTTTGCTCACCGGGGATGTGGGTGGAAGAAGAGGAGAGGTGGCCTAGCGATGACTTGGTCCAGGGGAATGAAGTCCCTCACTTCGGAGCTAGCCTCGGTTGGAGCGTCACGGCTCCCTGGTTGGGATCCAAAAGACGATGAACACGTTTGGTTGGATACACTTGCTGACATGGCAAGGAGCCGACCTCAGTGGCGTTCGTGCTGTGAGTTTCTTTGTCCCACCCCATCCATCTTAGCTTCCCCCTCCAACCACGATCTCATTATTTAGCCTTATATAATTTTGCATAATAATTTTTTTTGGTGCACAGCAGCCGGCTGGTAGCTTACCGGAACGATGCCCATCGGTTACCGGTAGCTCAGCCGGCTTGCACCAGTTGCTTTTTATTCTCTCCTTGTTTCTGTGTATTGCGGCACAGTAGCTTGGATGTTTCCCACCTCTAGCTAACGTGTATGATAATGAGGATGATGATGATGATGGTGATGACTGTGTAGTTTAGTGCTGCGGGATCGGATGCCTTTACATCATCAACAATCTTAACGCTGAGTGGAATCAATGCCGTGCATGTTATAGTCAGTCAATGGTGTAGCGCAATATAGCAACATATATTCCACAGGTTTTAACACAGATATTTGTACACGAAGCTGCTGACGCTCACACGTGATGGAGATGCCACCAGTTGGTTTTCAGAGTTGAAA